TGTGAGTGTGTGTGAGTGTGTGTGTGTGAGTGTGTGTGGCTCAGCATTTGATAATACATGAACCTATTCAGAGAGACAAGAGAAGACACATAGAGTCAAACCAGATATGCTGTTTGTATTTATTATGGATCCCCATTAGTTCCTGCCAAGGCAGCAGCTACTCTTCCTGGGGTTTATTATGGATCCCCATTAGTTCCTGCCAAGGCAGCAGCTACTCTTCCTGGGGTTTATTATGGATCCCCATTAGTTCCTGCCAAGGCAGCAGCTACTCTTCCTGGGGTTTATTATGGATCCCCATTAGTTCCTGCCAAGGCAGCAGCTAGTCTTCCTGGGGTTTATTATGGATCCCCATTAGTTCCTGCCAAGGCAGCAGCTAGTCTTCCTGGGGTTTATTATGGATCCCCATTAGTTCCTGCTGAGGCAGCAGCTACTCCTCCTGGGGTTTATTATGGATCCCCATTAGTTCCTGCCAAGACAGCAGCTACTCCTCCTGGGGTCCAAACACATTAAGGCAGTTATATACAATTTTTAAAAAACATGACATTACATTTCACAACACATTAAGTGTGTTCCCTCAGGCCACTACTCTACTACCACATATCTACAACACAGAATCCATGTGTACGTGTGTGTAGAGTGCGTATGTTATCATGTGTGTGTTTATGCGTGTATCTGTGCCTGTGTGTGTCTCTTCACAGTCCCCGCTGTTTCATAAAGTGTATTTTTATCTGTTTTTTAAATCTGATTTTACTGCTTGCATCTGTTACCTGATGTGGAATAGAGTTCCATGTAGTCATGGCTCTATGTAGTACTGTGCACCTCCCATAGTCTGTTCTGGACTTGGGGACTGTGAAGAAGGCACGTCTTGTGGGGTATGCATGGGTGTCTGAGCTGTGTGCTAGTTAGTTCAAACAGACAGCTCTGTGCATTCAACATGTCAATACTTCTCACAAATACAAGTAGTGATAAAGTCAATCTCTCCTCTATATTGAGCCAAGATATATTGACAGAGGCATTCAGGGGAGTTAGAGGAACATAAATTAGGTTATTTGCATTATGACTGCCAACGCTCCAAGGACAATATACATTTGACGCAGCACCACGACAACGCAGCGACACGATGGTAGGGATTATCTGAGCAGAGCT